CTTTGCTGCCTTTTTAAGCAGCAAGAGAGGTCAGGATATCGCTGAGTATCTGCAAAGCCACAGCCGGAAACTCGTGGAGAAGTTCTTTTCTTTTGAGGCTGGATGAGCTGCCGGCATCTCTTTTTTTTTTCAATAATCCAATTACTCCACTTTAACCATCAAGAGGCAATCAGCTCCCGGCACTTTTGAAAGCAGTTATTAAAGTGATACCGTTAAGCAAGTATTAATTAACCAATCTGAACTGAGGGTATCAAGGGAAGTGCAGAACTGCCAAAATGTATGTATTTGCCTGGCTAAGGGCATGTAGCCAGCAGTTCGATCCTGACCGTCTCAAGTTGGACTCAGCCTTCTGTCCTTCCGAGGTCAGTAAAATGAGGGTCCAGATTGTTGGGGGACAACAGGCTGACTCTGTAAACTGCTTAGAGAGGGCTGTAAAGCATTGTGAAGCGGTATATAAGTCTAAGAGCTGTTACTATTCTCCTTTATATTTGAAGGTGTGCTAATTTTACTCTGGTCCTTGTAGAAAAAGTTGCTCTCAGAGCCAAATAGCATATAGCAGTAGCAATAGCACTTAGGTTATATACCGCTTCTTAGCACTTTACAGCCCTGTCTAAGCAGTTCACAGAGTCAGCCTCTTGCCCCCAACAATCTGGGTCCTCATTTTACCGACCTCGGAAGGACGGAAGGCTGAGTCCACCTTGAGACAGCCAGGATCGAACTGCTGGCAGTGGGCAGAATTAACCTGCAATGTTGCATTCTGACCACTGCACCACCATCACGGCTCCTTTTTCAGGTGGCAATCCAAAAAAGCAGAATTAATGGGAACAGTTTCTGCCCAGGTTATTCCCAATGGTCTCCTAGGCAGTTTTTGGCGCCTCTGCAATGAAATTCTACAAGGATGGATGGGTGGAATTCTTGCTTCTCTGCCGAGCTCCAGACAAAGGCCGCATCGGGCTTGTGCCCTCTATGCTGTACAAAACACACCCACTCGCCCACTTTCTAATTCCTTCTCTTTCACAACATCCTGAATCCACCCTTTCTTAAAACATACACCCACAGCCCCTCTGCTATTTGCAGGCTGGTGAAAGCTGACCCCACCCCACCCCACCCTCCAATTTCCTCCATATCATTAGTGAAAATGTTGGTGAGATTTTGCTTCTTTCTTGCCAAGCCTTTGATGAATTTGGGTGTGCGGTAGGTGGGGTTTTTTTTTTTTTTTGCTTTTAACTGCAACCCCCCCCCTTTTTTAAAAAAAGGTGAATTATTTTATTATTATTGTGGAGAAATGGATAACTCGAATGTGATAAGAAATATCGGTTAGGAAGATAAAGCCCTCTTAAAGGCTGGGGGTTGCAAACCACCATTCCCCCCCCCTGCCAGCATGAATCTTGGGCCAGGTAGCTAGGATGATGGTTTGGGGATGGGCACAATCCGTGGTGGTGTGTTTTGTTTTCGAAAAGGTCAGAAGCATGGCTTCAGTTAACAACTGTAGTGATTCCCTTAACAATCATAGCAGAAGTCGTAAAATTGGGCACAACTCAATTAACAATTGTTTAGCAATGGAAATCATGGCCCCAGGGGCTGTCATAAGTTGAGGACTACCTGCAAATAACATTCATTTATTCAGTTCTTCATATGCTGGAAGTCTAGTTCTTCCTTGCCAACGAGGTGGAGGCGGTTTGTAATTGCCTTTTCTGGAACAGCTCTTCGACTTCCCCGTCTACCTGCTGAGTTGTGATTTCCTAGTGGTCTCCTTTCAAAACCTTCGCCCAACTTTACTCTCCCTTTTTCAGAATCAGCCAAAGTTGGTGAGGTGGTATCATCTGTTTAGTTTATTATTATTTTTAATGGTTTCCTCCCCCGCCACTCTCCTTTTCCACTGGTGATGTTGCATGTCCTTCTGGATACGTCTAGTCTAGTGAAAAGAAGGTCTAGGGGTGACATGATAGCAGTGTTCCAATATTTGAGGGGCTGTCACAGAAAGCACCAGAAGGCAAGACAAGAAGCGATGGATGGAAACTTACCAAAGCAAAAGATCCAGCCTAAAATTAAGGAGAAATTTCCTGACAGTGAGAACAATTAATCAGTGGAACGACTTGCCTTCAGAAGCTGTGAATGCTCCAACACTGGAAGTTTTTAAGAAGAGACTGGACATCAGTTTGTCTGGCATGGTATCAGGTCACCTGCCTGAACAGGGGGTTGGACTAGAAGACCTCCAAGGTCCCCTTCCAGCTCTATTACTCTGATTTTTGGCCCAGTTAGGGGGATGATTGGCTTCCGCTGCCTTTTGCCCCATTTCAAGATGGCGGGGGCAAAGTTGAGTGCCCTCTGCCTTTACCCAGCGTCTGCTGGAAAAGAAAAGATTGTGTGGCTCTCGGCTCGTGACAGCTGAGTGGAAAGAATTCCCTCACCCTTGCTTGGCTTCCAGGGGAAATGTGTATTTTGAAATTAATATTTCAAGCATCCTTTTTTTTTTTTCTTTTTCTGTTTTTTGGCAGCGCAGGCTCGCAAGCAAGCAGGCCGCGGTTTGGCTTTTGGCTCGCTTCCTATCCTTCTCAGGGTCCCTTCGCTCCTTTAATAGGAAAGCAAGTGTATCTAATTCCACCTCTTTCCTTCTCCAAAATCTTGGAAGCGTTTCAGAGCCCCGCCGAGCCATCCAGCTCATCCAGCCCTGGGCAGTCCTGCAGCTGAGAGTGCCCCTCTCCGATTTGGGGGGTGGGGGGGAGAGCCGTCTGCACGCCGAAGGTAGGAAAGGAGGGCAGCTGCCCCCTTCCCCAGTCCTGCTTCTTCGGTTCTCCCACTCTTTGACGGTTGTGGTGGAAATTCCAGTTGTGAGCAATTCCCTGCTTGGTCTGCTTAGCCTACAAGCCTGATCTATTTATTTCAGGCTGAAATTCTGCACCTGTGACACAGAGGTTTGTTTGTGTAATTTAGCAACCTATGTTATGTCTGTGGGGACTTGGGTGTATTTGTGTGTATGTATGTGTGTGAGAGGGGAGGGAGGGAAGGGAAGGGAAGGGAAGGGAAGGGAAGGAAAGGAAAGGAAAGGAAAGGAGAAAGGAAAGGAAAGATGAAGGGAAGGGAAGGAAAGATGAGGAAGGGAAGGAAAGGAAAGGAAAGGAAAGGAAAGGAAAGGAAGAGGAAAGAGGGAAGGGAAGGGAAGAAAGAGTTCTTTCTTAAATTTATAGATAAAGTTAAAAATTTAAACTTTCAACGTAAACCATTCTGTCTTAAATGTATAGATAAACAATTAGAGATGAAATGTGAATAGTTCTTCCTTAAACTCGTAGATAAAAAATGAGAGATTACATTTAAACTCTTCTTCCTTAAATTCATAGATTAAAAAAAAGTTAACCATGTAAACCTGGAACGCAGATCTTTCTTTCTGAAATTCAGGGATTAAAAAACGAGAGGTTAAATTTAAATAGCCCTTCCTTAAATCCAGAGATTTTTTTAAAAAAAGTTAAAACTGTATACATTAAACGTAAACAGTTCTTCCCTAAATCCGTAGATCAGCGTCATAGATTAAATTTAAAATTTTTAAATGTTCGAGGAACGTTCTCCCTTAAATTGATCTTCTTTCCTGAGCCCAAGTCCAGAATTAACGCCAGCCCCAGATTACAGACAGGGGCAAGATGCTGGTCTGCCAGCCAGCCCGCCAACTCTGCTTCAGCCGCAGCTTCCCGGCCTTCCCCTGGTCCTCGGCTTCCATGCTTAAGCTAAGCTCCGGGACCAGCACTTCCAAGACAGCCAGGAAGAGAAGCAGCCAGGCGGGAAATTGCTTGATTAACATCCCTTTCAGAGCTTAAACTCTTGCCCCGGCTTTGCAATGGGTGGGAACAAGCATCGGTCCTGGGAGACAATGGTGGCCCAGTGGGGCTGGCTCAGTCCTGCTGTGTTCACACCTTCCCCCTCGGCCTTTGATGTTGCAAGCGAGATTTACAAGCTGACCAGCTTTCCCACTGGGCGCATTAGGAGCTAATTAAAGCTTTGAATTTTCACCCGGCATGTGGCGGGAATACACTATCCATCCTCTGGGAGAGGAGGACATCTGAAGGGTGGGGAGAACTGAAAGCTGGAGAGCCGGGGAGGAATGGGAAGAGCTGCCCCTCCCCACCAAAAAAAAAAAAAGACAGGAGGGGAGATATAAAGCAAGAAGAGCTTGGTCCCCCCCCCCCCATAGAAGAGGGAACAGAGGGCACCACTGCTCCTGGAGCTAATGTGTAAAAGAATTCCTTAGAGGCTGAATCTGGTGGCATCGCTCCTTTCTTTTCTTTCTTTCTTTCTTTCTTTCTTTCTTTCTTTCTTTCTTTCTTTCTTTCCTTCCTTCCTTCCTTCCTTCCTTTCCTTTCCTTTTCTTTGATACATTTCTGTTTGTTTTCCTTTCCTCTTTTCTTTCTCTCTCTCTCTTTCATTTTCTCTTTTGCCCTTTCTTTCTTTCTTTCTTTTCTACCTTCCTTCCCTTTCCTTCCCTTTCCTCTTTCATTTTCTTTCTCTCTTTCTTTCATTCTCTTTTGCCCTTTCTTTCTTTCTTTCTTTCTTTCTTTCTTTCTTTCTTTCTTTTCTACCTTCCTTCCTCCTTCCCTTTCCTTCCCTTTCCTCTTTCATTTTCTTTTTCTCTCTCTTTCATTCTCTTTTGCTCTTTCTTTCTTTCCTTCCTTCCTTCCTTTTTTCCTTCCTTCCTTCCTCCTTTCCTTTCCTCTTTTATTTTCTTTCTTTCTTTCTTTCTTTCTTTCTTTCTTTCTTTCTTTCTTTCTTTCTTTCTTTCTTTCTTTCTTCTCTTCAGTCCATGGCTTTTTGTTCTTAGCCATGCAGTGTACCAGATGATCTATTTCCCTACCATCCTCCTTTCCAAACATTTGCAAGCCTAGCCTGATCTTCTCTCATGCACATTCCCCAACCCAGCCTCCTCGTACCCCTGGGGGCATCTCCCTCTCCTCCTCCCACTTGCCCTGGAGAAACTGACTCTCTTTCCAACACTCCCTTTGCTTTCCCTTCAGAGAGAAGCTGTTTTGAGGGACTTCGGAAGATCCTGCAGCAAGATGGGGCCCATAGCTGGTGTGTGCCTGCTCCTGATTCTCTGCAGGGCGGACTTCTCCCAGGGCGTTAACCCCTTTGCCATGCAGCAGATTCCACCAGACCCTTGCTACGACGAAAAAGGGGCACCCCGCCGTTGCATCCCAGAGTTCGTCAACGCGGCCTTCGGCAAGGACGTCCATGCCTCCAGCACGTGTGGGAAGCCACCCAGTCGCCACTGCGATTCGTCAGACCCCCGGCGAGCTCACCCAGCATCCTATCTCACCGACCTCAACACTGCATCCAACATGACGTGCTGGCGCTCGGAGACTTTGCACCACTCTCCCCAAAATGTCAGTCTCACCCTCTCCTTGGCCAAGAAGTTTGAGGTCATCTACGTCAGCCTCCAGTTCTGCTCTCCCCGTCCGGAGTCAGCTGCTGTTTTTAAGTCCATGGATTATGGCAAGAGCTGGGTGCCTTACCAATACTATTCCTCCCAGTGCCGGAAGATCTACGGGAAGCCCAACAAGGCCACGGTCACCAAGCAGAACGAGCAGGAGGCCCTGTGTACAGATGGCCATACTGACCTCTACCCTTTGACTGGGGGGCTGATTGCCTTCAGCACGCTGGACGGGCGTCCGTCGGCTCAAGATTTTGACAACAGCCCTGTTCTTCAGGACTGGGTGACAGCCACCGATATACGGGTCATTTTCAGTCGTCCTCATCTCTTCCGGGAACTGGGAGCACGGGACCATGAGGATGAGGACGGTGGAGGGAGCTCCTCTTCATATTACTATGCAGTGGGGGAATTCCAGGTTGGCGGGCGCTGCAAGTGCAACGGACACGCCTCGCGCTGCATGAAGGACAAGGAAGGCAAGCTGGTGTGCGACTGCAAGCACAACACCGAAGGGCCCGAATGTGACCGGTGCAAACCCTTCCATTACGATCGTCCCTGGCAGAGAGCCACAGCCAGGGAGGCCAATGAATGTTTAGGTAAGAGGGATTTTGTCCCAGTCCTCTTTCTCAGACTTCTGTGCACCTGGCGGCACCTGGTTTTATGCAGTCAGAACTATTCGCTCAAAGAGGTCCACCATGCATATAGGAAAGAATGGGGCATGGATCGTGTGGTTTGTGGCTACCATCTTGGATTTTGTTTTTTAATGTTCTTGCAGACATCCATGTGTGGAAAATAGAACCGTTGGGAAAACTGACGGGGGGGAGGCCAACTATTGCAGTAGGTAGCCTAAATCTTTTTTTTAAATAGAATTACCTTGAATAATTGGCTTATTATAATATCAGCCTTCCTTCCTTCCTTGGTTCTATTTATTCATGTAGCTAGATTCCCTTCCTGCAGTGCAGTGATATTGACAATTGATGATCTAAGCACTGTAATCTGAGAACAAGTCATGTTTTGCCTTTCTTTCTAGTCCTTCCTCTCTTTTCCTTCCTTCCTTCCTCCACATTCTTCCTCCATCCCCATTCTTTCCTCCCTCCCTCCTCCTCTCCTTCCTTCCTTCCCTCCCTCCCTCCTCCCTTTCATTCCTTCTTGCCTCCCTCCCTTTCTCTCTCTTTCTCATTTTTGGCCAACCTGCTTTCTGAAATAACGTTGAGAAGAGCAAGTACTGCCCTTGATCATAGCCAAAAGGCCCAAAACCTTTGTGTTTTTTGCAACAGCCACTGGGAAGATCGAAATGCAGATACGCACAGAAGGCTGGTGCTTTAGGGTGGATAGATTGAACTGATGCAGGTTGATGTAATTTTTCAGGAGTTTGGCAAATACCCTATGGTTGCCAGTAAAAGCCTTTCAAATGTAAATAACACTAAGTCCTCCGATATGCAAAGATACTAAGAAGAAAAACCCAAATGACATCACTAATCAAGAATGTCTCATCAACTGATATTTAGACTTTGAAATTCCACTGAGCAACTGTTAGACTGGCCAGGATTTTATGGAGGGAGGGACGTGGTAATTCTCTCCTCTAAGGACATTAAATTCACAGGCTGAGCTTATTTATAGCTCAATGGGGAATTTTTTTATTTTTCCCCCTTTTTTAATTTTTCTCACTGTCAGGAAATTTCTCTTAAGTTCTAGGCTGGCTCTCTCCTTGATTAGTTTCCATCTCTTCCTTCTTCTTCTTCTGCCTTCAGGTGCTTTGGAGAATAGGTTGACACACACCCCCTGTTTTCTCCATGGCAACTCCTTAGATATTGGAACACTGCTTCCATGGCATCCCTACTCCCTCTTTTCATTAAACTAGACGTACCTAGAAGAAGCAAGAAAATTTTCTCCCAAAAGGGAAAATTAAATCCTTTTGAAGAAGAGACCTAAGTGAACTAAGTTGACCTTCTTTCTCTCACTTGCAAACTTCTGAAAGTTCTTCGTGCACCTCATCTCCCTTGATCTTAAAGGCTGACTTGCTATGAAGCAGAAGCAACGTTGGTTTGACGCTCAACAGTCTGAAGAGGTAGATGAATGGCGTATTCATGAATGGAATATAAGTCAATGAATAACTTCTGCTCAATGAAGCTGCCCAACTCTTGTCTGTTGAACCATCTCAGTGAACCATCCAGACCAGCTAATTGGTTCAGCTGAAAACTTAGCGCAGGCTGGAGCTAATGTAACCCCAAACCACCAATAAAAGAAAAGATAGATGTTAACCCAGATCTGGGGGCTGTATTCCCACAGCATGCTGAACTTGGTTATTGAGTTAACCCTTTCAATCCTACCTAATCTAATGAAACAGGCTGTGTTCCATCCACCCACACAGTAAGCTAACCAAGACCAACCCTAACCTAAAGTTTGGATGTCATATAAGTGTGTGGATTAGTTCTTTATTTGACCTGGTTTATAGGTATTGTGTGAATGCAGCCCTCAATTGCTTCCTTCTATGATACCATCCAGCCAAGCTCATATGATGATGATGATGATGATGATGATGGAGGAAGGGTTAGGGTTAAGGTCATCTAGTCCAACCTCCTGCTCAGGCAGGAAACCCTGTACCATTTCAGACAATTGGCTGTCCAGTCTCTTCTTACAAACTTCCAGTGTTGGAGCATTCACAATACCTTGGGGAGATTTGGTGGGGATGGGGATAGATGGAAAGTCCAAACTTTGACAGATGGAGAGAAATAGGAATGTTTGGGTAGAGGGGAAGGAGGCCAGGGAGGCTGGCAATGACTCTTTCAGACATTCCCAAGGAGAACAGCTCCACAAAGTTGGCCAGGCAAGCCAGCCTGCCGTGTGAAACTTTCTCCTCTCTGGCCCCATCTCCTCCTTTTCCCTTCTGGGTCTTTGTGCTGCTGTGTGTGAAAGGGCTCCTACATCACACACCTCCAAAGAGGCTTAGCGGCTGAAAGCCGGATTAGTTGCCCAAGCGTTCCCCTCTGTGTCTTTCACCAGGGACCTCTCCCTGGCCAGCAGGAAGAGGGAAGCGGCCCAGCAATTAGGAGCAATTAAAAGCTCCCCCCCCCTCTCCTTCTTGTCCCATGGCAGGGAGGTTTGCTGCCTGTAGCCAGGCCCAGGCATCGGGCAGGGTCTACAGACCCAGAGCATGACCCTTCAGAGGGCCCAGCTGACAAGAGAAGGAAGGCGGGTCAAAAGCTGCCAGGCTGAGAGTAGAAAGCCAGGCTAGGAGTCATCTGCATAGACAGATGACTTAACAACAGTTCATTTAGTGACCGTTCAAAGTTACAGCGGCACTGAAAAAAGGGACTTATGACCATTTTTTTCACACTGATGACCGTTGTAGCATCCCCAAGGGCAAGGGTAGGCAACCATGGCTCCCAGAATTCCTGAGCCAGCATAGCTATCCGTTCATTCCCACGGCCAGGGGTAGGCAACCTTGGCTCTTTTAGGACTCGTGGACTTCAACTCCCAGAATTCCTGAGCCAGCCACGCTGAGGGGAAAGGGAGAGGTTTCCAAGCTGAGCCAGGCTGGCTCAGGAATTCTGGGAGTTGAAGCCCACCAGTCATAAAAGAGCCAAAGTTGCCTACCCCTGCCCAAGGGCACAGGATCAAAATTCAGATACTTAGCAATTGCTTCCAACTCTGTCATTGTGGCCGGGTGACCTCTTCAAAGATGCCTGTGACCTCCGGAGGAGGGAGATAGTGACCTAAAGTTTGAGAACCCTCCATTAACTCTTTCCTCAGGCCATTGATTCAGGGAATAAAGTGCCCGTGGAGGAAAAAAAATGCAAAGGAAACGATAAAGTACTGAGGCTGGTTAATTCCAAACCAGAGGTTACATTCTCACAGTTCGGTTAAGATAAAAGTTTGGTTAGATTGGATTGGATTAGGGGTTTTGAGGTGGAGGGGTGCCTTCAAGTCAATCTTTTTTTAAAAATATATTTTATTGGTTTTTTAATTTTAACAAAAAGTACTTAAGACATACCGTGGTGTTTGGGTAAACAAACATCCCAACATAAAATATATACATAAACAGCTCAACTTAGTACATTCACTGTCATCTCTCTATTTCCTTCAAGTCAATCTTGACTCCTGGTAACACCCCCACCCCACTGCCACCCCCTTGGATGAGTCCCTGCAGTTATCTTGGCTAGATTTTTGAAGTGATTTGTCATTGCTTGCTTCCCAGGGCTGAGAGGGAAAGGCTGGCCCAAAGTCACCCAGCTGATTTTGGGCCCAAGTAGGCACTAGAACTCACAGTCTATGGGTTTCTAGCCACTGCGCCAAGCAGGCTGTCTAGATTAGACTTGGAGAGATTAAATCTCGAAAAATTGTGTTTGTGTGTGTGTGTGTGTGCTTGTGGTTTGCATGTCCACGTATGTGTGTTGAATGTCATTGTGGGTTCTGCCAACTTAGTCCATGGGTCTATTTTCTTTGATGTTAAAATAAATATTTTGTTACTTTATCGAAAACCCAGAACTTCAAAGAAAAATGAAGATAGCGGAAAAATAGGAAGAAAAAAGGCAAGAGAAAAAAAAGTGTAGAGTAAGGGAGAACAGAAAAAGAAAAGCCTTGACCTCCAGCTCCTTTTGATGCAGTAAAATAAAGTACTAACATAAAACCTCAACTTTTTACTTTTATGTAATAATATTTACTAGCCATTTCTCTAACAGCAAACCTATCTAGTCAGCAAAATCCAAAATCAACGCTTCATTTTTTTTTCCACCTCAAGCCCAAAGTCCAAAAGCGGTTTTTAAGCAGAAACAAAATTAATTGCGCTCTTTCTTTTTAACCAAAGACGTCAATTTAGCCACTTCTGCAAACTCCATCAGCTTTGGCAGCCATTTGTCCGTTGTGGGAATCAAAGTCTCCTTCCATTTTTGTGCACAGAGTATTCTTGTTGCTGTCAGTAAATATAACATCGAAGTTCCAATTTCCCACCCCCCAAGTTCTTTAACTATTCAACCTAAGAGAAAAAGTCTCTGGTTTTTATCTTTATATTCGCTTTAAATGGGTCTATTTTCGCAATGTCTTCTTCTGTTCAGTTGCATCTGATTTTCAGAGACCGCCTGGATAAATCCCTGCAGTTTTCTTGGCAAGATTTGCAGAAATGATTTGTCATTGTCTCCTTCCCGGGGCTGAGAGAAAGTGATTGGCCCAAGGTCACCCTGTTGGATTTGTGCCTAAGCTGGGACTAGAACTCACAATCTCCCAGAGTGTCTACTCTGGTGCCTTGACCACCAAACCGTCTCTCCAGTTCCAAAAACGGCCAACTCAGTAAGCAGGTTACACACCTGCATCCACACTCTCCAGCTGACTATGTTCTCCTGGGCCTCTAAAAAAACAAAACAAAACAAAAACCTGCCAGAGCATCTATGTCTGGCCTGGATTGCTCCCATCTTTCTTTTCATTTTGAACTGAATTTACGTTAAAAAAAAAAATAACTACCTTCAAAATATGTTGCTTAAGAAGGCATCCGACAGCAGATTCTGAAGTAAACAGGTGTGGCACCCGTTGTGTAACTTGTCATGATATGTCGAGTAATGACTTCAGAGCGTGGCACTGTTCTTGGCTGAGTTTATTGGCT